GTTGCAGCAGCCGTCACCGAACTCTCAAAACACGTTCTTTGTCAACTACATGTCTGGGGTGGTGCCAACCTCAGAGACTCGAACATCGTGATCCTCATTTGCATGCTGTTTGTGAACAACATTCTTATGCAGGGATGGAGCATCTACTACATGTATCGCAGGCAGGGCTTCCCCGGTCCCAAGTCCGGGCATACAGCTGCACCTTTACACTCAGTGTGGTCCTTGCTGCAAACAGGCTGAACTTCCTTAGGAACTTTGCAGTGCAAGCGGGGACCTTATTTTATGCCAGCTGTATGGAGGTGAGGGTTGCACCCGTCGCCAAGGGTGCTGGACTGTATCATGACGGCGAGTTCTTGATCTATGAAGGTACAGGAACACATGGTGCACTCAGAATAATCGTGAATCGAAGCTCCGTGAAGGCCTTCACGATTATATGGATGGCGGGGGTGATGACATTTTGTCTATGCCTATGCCTTGGTACACTGCATCAACTCACAGTTTTACAGCGACGACATGTGGTTACCTGTCCAGGTGCACTCGATCACAGGGTGAAGGAGAACGGCAAGGTCTGCGCTAGGGCTATAAATAGAGTCTTTTGGTGTCTGCTGTTCTTTGGTATGATGCCAGGCTGCGGTTCTACGAAGGTGACGCCACAGGACATGCAACGCGGCATATCGCAGCCACGGTCGTTAGACGGAGATCGTTCACGCCATCCTCACTGGACAGGACCTACATGGATTCGCAAAAGAGCATACAATCGAGCAGTGCGGCGAGCTCAGGCTAGCAGCACAGGAACCACAACCTACAGAGGTCAGACGTGCACTTTACAAGACCTGCAGGCTCGGCGCATCGGGGGGAGTGGTCTTCGCACAAGGTCTTCATGGAAGCATGNNTAATCTTCATGACATGGAACGCAGGAGGACTCACCTCTGGAACACTCGAGGAGTTTATGCGATGGATTAACACACGGCCGAGACCTCAGCAACCCAACGTGATATGCATACAGGAAACTCACTGGACCTTTGATGCGGAGTGGGTCAGCGGGAACTGGCACCATGTTCACTCGGGAGTTTCAGGACGCAACGATCGCTATGCGGGGTTGCTCACGCTGATTAGGGTGCCGGGCCTCAAACAGGACGATATCAGGTTTCATAGGGTCATGCAGGGCCGAATGGACCACATCCGATTTGAGGCCTCTACTGGAGTTTACGATGTGATCAATGTCTACCAGAAGGCGGTATCATTCACCAATTCGGCTGAGTCGTACACGCAGAGAGCCAATGTCATTAAGAACCTGTCGAGAGTCATTTCGAGCATGCCTCAACGCAATCTGCTGGTGATGATGGGGGACATGAACTTGCAGCTATACTCGGATTCTCCGCATGTGGGACCTCGGACCACCTTTACCAAAGGAGGGGAACAGATCTCTAGAGATGGGGAGTTGTTCCATGACATGTTGCGGCGCCATCATCTTACAGCTGTCAACACGTGGTCATGTCATCAGCCCCATACGTATCAACATCTTCAACATCGCACACAAATTGACTACATCATTGTTCGATGCTCGCAAGCCAGAGGACCGGCCAAACAAGCGAGTCCGGACAGAACAGGAGAGCTCACTCGCTGGAAGGACACCCGACATCACCCGGTGTGGGCACGGATTCTCCATCCCAAAAGACCACAAAACAACAGAGATAGGGGGGAACCGGGGTGGAGTATTGATGTTGGCACCGTCAAAAACCTACCGGATTCCGATGGTCGCTTGGTCACCCTGCGAACACAGTGTGCGCAGGCACTTGAGGCAATCACACAGGAGACTTATCATCAAGTGCCGTTGCTGCTAGGGAGGATAGCTCAGCGGGTTTTTCCACGCGAACAAACACAGAGAGTCGCTAAATGGCAGGAACCTTCCATGACCAGAATCATTGACAGGATGTGGTGGATTTACCGTTGTGCCAAAGGGCGAGTCGACAACAATGGCAGGCCGTTCTCACTTTTGCAGAGATGGTTCCTCTATGCGAGATTCAAGAGAATCAGAGCTCAAACGAAAGCTCATGGCAGGGAACTACAGAAGCAAAGATTTCAGAAAGTACTGGAGCAAGCAGAACAGGCCATGCGAACGGGAGATCAACAAGCATTGTATCAGCATGTGAGATCATTGGCACCGAAGGCGAGGAGGACTCGACCTCAAATCACAGATGAGGCGGGAATGTTGCTGGATTCGACATCTGAGGCCAAGATTCTAAAAGTTCATTTCGAACAGGTCTGGACGCAGCCAACGGATTGGATTATGCCATCACTCACCTCTTCACCGGTGCAGCCTCACTTGGAGGAGCCAGAAATGGAGCTTGCAGCAATACAGGCTGCCGCACGCAAAATCCGCGCTCACAAGGCTGTCCCGAATAGCATGCCACCGGCGATCATCTGGAAGCAGTGCGCTGAGAGCCTGGGTACAGTAGCGCATGAAATGACCTGTCGCCGATGGCTAGATGGAGCCTGCTTGTTTCCACGAGCGTGGCTGGACACTTATGTCATCTTGATCCCCAAACAGGGCAAGCCCATAGGCAAAGCTTCGTCACTCAGGCCGATTGGCCTACAAGACCCATTGGCGAAGGCCTATGTATCTGTGGTGGCCGCACATTTCAAACCATATGCCTTGGAGTTCTTAGCAAGCATACCCCAATTTGCCTACTTACCTGGGCGTGATGCCATAGGAGCGTTGGCACGTGCAACATCACACTGTCTTCAGGCGCGGGAATTGCTACGAGCTGGGACCTACAACATTCATGCAAAACGTGCTGGAACTCAGCACTCATCAGACTTTGTTGCTGCTCTTCAGGTTTGCTTAGACATGACTCAAGCGTTCGACAAGGTTCCGTGGGCGTTACTGAAAGCAGCGCTGGAGAGGACACGTACGCCAGCTTCACTACGGAGGGCGATCATGGCATGGGTGACGGGCACCAGGTACTTGGTCTGCTTCAGGGGACAACTCATTGAGGTGATGCCGACGAGAGGCGTGAGGCAGGGGTGTG